CCCAGTGTCCCAAAGTGGTCAGACTTTGTTTACATACTCTGGACATGTTATCAGGAGAGACCAGTCCCTGGGGAGGGACAGCATGCTTGGCAGAGGGGCAGCGGAAAAGAGAAAGCCCCTCAACAGGATGGATGGACTCAAGCATAGGGAAATGGTGAGGGTGGCGCAGGACGGCGCAGTGCAGAGGGTGGAATCGACTCAAGGGCACCCCACTCAATGGCACCCCACAACAGCCTTGGGAGCAGATTTGTAGCCTTCTCATAGTTACGCAGGTTACCCAGGACTGTCTTCAAAGCTGGAGACTGTTCGTGGCTTTATAGCCTGTAACTTAAGGAATGAACTTTCTATCCACAGGTTTCCTTTGAACTGTTCTTGGGTGCAGCGCTTTGGTTCCGACTCATCGTGACCCCCCGCATGCACCAGAAAGGACCACTGACTGTCCCATGTCATCCGCACAACTTAGGTTAGTCTGCTTCTATTCATGAGGTTTGCAGTGTCTGACGATGTTTAAATACTCTCCATGAGGTTTTTCAGTGGCTAATTCCTTTCAAGTATAGACCCTACTCCTTCTTCGTAATCTGTTCTTAATCTGGAAGTTCTGCTGAACCTGTTCACTTTGGGTGACCCTGTTGGTGTTTGAAGTCCCAGTGAGTGACATCGTTTCCAGAAGACCAGCACACACAAGCCACCACGGTAGGACAAACTGACAAAGCCCTTTGCACTACACCTACATTACCTCATCCACTTTCTTTCTGATCTATAATCCATCTCCAAATCTAGGCGTGCTCCTTCAAAATGCAGACGAAAACACACTCACTGCCATCCAGTAGATTATGGTCCATAGTGAGCTTATAGGGCAGGGCAGAACTGCCCCTGTGGGTTTCCGAGACTATAAACTATGGGCGTAGAATGGCTCCTCTTTCTCCCTTGGTGTGCTGGCAGGTTTGAACTGCTGACCTGGTGGTTAGCAGCCAAACTCATAACCCACTATGCCACCGGGGCTTCTAGGCCTCCTCAGTCTTCCTTAATGTGTGTATAACAAACGCCTGACCCCATTCAGATATTCACTTCCAAAATCTATTTGTAGTGCAAATGCACCCACATCCCTCCCTGCTTAATTCCCATCAGTAGCTGTCCACAGCCTGGAGTAGTCAGCATGGCTCTGAGATATGTGCTACCCTTGTCTCCTTAATAGGGCTCACATAACCGCCCCACCTCCACCTGTTGTTTTCTCTATGTCAATCACCTCTCACTTTCATCAAGGAG